GGCCTTGGCACCGCTCAGGCCGGCCGCGCACCGCCCTGCGCCCCAGGCCTGACTGACAGACGGCCACCGCCAATCCCCGCCGGGACAGGCGCGGATGCCGACCAATAACGACCGCGCGAGCAGGACGGGGGCGGCGCCTTCCTTGCTCCCGCCACGCACCGGCCGCGCAAAGCGGGGGCTCGGCCTGAGCCCGCGGTCCGCGCCGAACGGCGGCTGCTCTTAAACATCGGCAGTGACATGGGGCGCGTGTAATTATCCCCAACAGTTACAGGCAGGGCAATCCTGTTCATGGTTTCGCAAAGAAGCCAAGAAAATAAAGAATGCCCACTGATTGCCACAGTGGCATTCTGTGAAAACTCAAAATACTAACATGATTTACAGAGTAGCTCCAGAGTAGCAAGATAAAAGCCCTTGGTGCACTACTCATAGCAGATACAGTATGTTCAAGAGTTCTTGCAAGGGTTTGAAGACTGCTTGCCTTGCTCTGTGGTAGTTAAAAGCAAGCATCTTTTTGCAGTATTGGGAGAGTACCTGTAAAAGTGTCAACGCTGATTGTTGACAATTTTCAGTTATGTCAGTTATAGAGACTTAGACAAACATTGACATGATTATGGGTAGTTTTAAGAGGGAGTCTAGAAATTGATTTTAATTTCAGTCTAAGATATCTTGCAAATAGAAATGTTGTTATTTGAGCAAGTTCTTGAAATTACTGAGAAATTATCACAGATTTAGTATTAAAGGATGGAATTTTAAACCTCTGCTTTTGGTCAGTTCAAATTTTCTGGTCACAAATATTGAATAAAATTTCTACTATAACTTTTACCATAAAGCTATATATTTACCAAAAAAAAAAAAAAAAGTGACTAGGATTCTATAAAAGCACTTACATATATATTTTTGACAAAATTGATAGAACTTTCTCTCATAAGGATTTGCAGATTCATAAAAATCCCAAAGTAACAAAGACAGTTCATTCACAGTAATTTTCCTAAAGAATTTCTTTCACAAGCCAGACTAGTTCCTTCTCCTTCCTAACTCTCTGGCAATCCATACTGCAGACTGAAGAGAGAATCCTGCTGTTGGGCAAACCAGGAGACCATCAAGGGAGTAGAGTCTAAGGCTCTGCTTCCACTATCCACAGTGCCACGACAACCTACAACCGAACATCTTGCGCTCAGATTAATACGACTTACACAGTTCACTGCTGTCTGACAATCAAGATTGCTTCGCATTCAAACAAGATCAGCTTTAAATATCAGAAGTCCTTCAGAAACCAAGATTTCTTCATTCATTCATTACTATCCCCGTGCTATTTCCTCATACACTCCCTCTCTCACCTTTCACTGTAAATTCTCTTGCATTTCATACTAAACTTGCAAAATATTTCTCTTTCCGGTTTCTATGAACCAGAAACACAGACCTGGACATCTATAAAAATCACAGTTATAGTTCAGTCTGGTTATTTTCCTGTCTGGCATGATTCATATGGCTGAGAAGTCCTTGAAGATCAACACACATTAACATATACCAAAGTGCTAGGTATAGCAGTTTATTGTATTTTCAATAGGACTGTATTTTCTTCATCAGAAGTTTAGTAAGTACGTACAAAACATCCCACAGTGATCAGATATCAAGTCCTTTCCATTTTTTTTTAAGGGGAGATTTATAAGCTTGCATTTAGCTTTAACACTCAAAGAGTTAATTCAAGACTTCTCAGCAATATTGGCAATACCATTTTGCCTATCTTCCTTCCAGAAAGAGAAAAGCCACGGAGCAGCAACAAAAAGCATTAGCGACAAGTCTAAGAGACACAGGCTAGTTGCTCCAAAGGAAAGATGCTTCAAAGAAAAGATGTAGACACTGCTGCCACTGCTAAGTAGTGCCACCTCTCTCCGAAAGGGCCACTGCCAAAAATCTGATCCTTTCCATGCTTTGTATGACCATAGCAAGGATTTTACCTAAGAAACTGCTCACTTTGCTAATAGTTACTCACTATTCTAATATAACACTTATGTAAAATAACTCATACACTGACTTTTTGACTAGCAGAGAAATCTTATGAACCTTTGTATTTCAAAATCATTTTATATACACACACATACACACATAAAAGCAAGAACTCTGGTGGATTTGAATCATAGACACACAAGGTATCTGGCACCTTTAAAAATGAAAATTAAAATTTTAAATGCTGAGGTGAGAGTATTTTCAAATGCCATGTTTCTGGAACTATAACATTTACCATGTTAATCAGTGGTGAGCTTAAGGCAGTTCATATTCTTGGGCTGGTAAAGATTTAGCACAATTTATCTATATGTATCTATATGTATTTTCAATGTAGAACATTTAACTTTTAATTAACTAGAATAGTATGTTGTAGCTTTCGTTTAAAAATCTGAATTAAAGCTAACGCACTACATCTAGCTTTTCTGTTGCATTTTTACTTTACCAAAAAACAAAGAACTTCATTCACATGCATATGACATGAACTGCTGATATTTTGCTCTCTTAATATGGAAATTTCGCAGAAAATGGCAGGAGAAGAAAAAAAAAAAGAGACTGCCTGGAATACACGGGAAAAAAATGTATTACTTAAAACCTTCAATAGACTTAATTTATCAGTCATTATGGATCATGAAAAGAATTCACATTATCCCAATGTCAGAAACATCTTCAGAGCCAGGAACCCTGAGTATTATAACGCACTGAGGAACTTACTATCAAACTCAGTGCTACTCCAAACGTTATATTATTAAGCATAAACTAAGCACACAGAAATAACTGTAACAATTTATTATTCTGGTACATCTCTCATCGTACAGGGACATAAGGATTTAAATCATCTAGCAAATAAGAGAGCTTGCAGGCTTGGTGCCACAGTCTGGCTCCACCTTACATTGTAAAATGCACTAGGCATCCACATGCACCCAGAAAAAATAATGCAGAAACTATCTGCAAGCCCTCATTGCTTTAAAGGATCACTTGATAAACCAAACCATCTTAAACACAGTCCACAGCCACATTACTTAAGTGAAGCTTCAGGACAGATGACATATCAACACCATGATGGAGTTTTCTTTTATCATGGCGATCTTCATTAAACAAACAAGCAGCACAACACTAGTAGGTACCAGGCATTGATCTCAATTTTATACTGCCTTCATAAATGCAATTGGTTAAACGCAGCTTTCATAAGTACAATTAGATACTAATGGCTTGCACTTGGCAAAGAGACCTTACTGAGAATCTGAAATAAAGCCTTATCGGCAAACTGCTGAAACAAGCGCATCTTTCACTTAGTGGTGTATTTTTTTGAGTACATTGCAACAATATAGTTCACATGAATAGAATGTGAATTGTTTGACTATTAAAATAACACTTTTTTTCCCCTCATTTGTTACTTTCAGGCAACTGTCTGAGCAAAGTATTATTTTCCTCACATTTCACTTTATCATATATAGAGATAACAATAATAACCTGGACTGAATACTCCTAAATACAAGACCATTAATAAGGAACATTCTGGTTAAAAAGTCAAATATTGAAAGAAAACAAAGGACTATTTAGACTGAAATACTTTCCTGTCCAATCTGGACTGAAAAAGCATTAAAACAAATAATTTTTTTAGCTATATATATGTTTTTCTCTGTGATCTCTCTCTCAGGCTGTTTTGCACAACTGGTGTTACATGAAAATAATCCTTGCTCCTACTCAAGAAACTCACAATGCATTTACTGCATTTCTCTGGACCAGTTTGATCTTCTCTTTATTGCAGACTCCTGCACCCACGATGAAGCATCTCTGCAGAGCAGTGGCCACACGAAGAGGGTACACCGTGAACACTGTAAAAGAAGCAAGTTTTGCTTGGCACAATAGAAGCCTGTGGGGAGGCAGCTACCCCAGAAAGCAAAGGAAGCTTCTGCTCTGGACGTCCCATTTCTACCGCTGGAGGGCACTTCCAGCCTCTCATGCCGCACCTGCCCTTGCGACCGCTGCTGAGGGACATCACGTGCCGCCCCCCGGACGCACCGCAGGCTCCTCGCGACCTCGTCAAGGCGGCCGCGGCGCGAGGCGTCTCCAGCCGGG